CATGCACTTTCATTCGAAATGAAGGTCCCCTTAACAATGTTATCTCAGGAGATTCATCGAAACCAAGTTTATCTTCGTATCTACAACATTTTCTGTTTAGTATTTAATTTTTGGGACTAATAGTAGATCTGATATAAAAGTTGTATTCACCCTATTCCTTTTAAGGTGATGATCGAACTTCACGTTTGCACTTAATTTCACATAGCTTCGCTTCATCAAAGGTATTCTCAAGTGGGGCGGATGGCAGTACTCGAGTTCGAGTCCCCCCGGGGCTGTTGATGTGACCAGTTCAGGCGAGGTCGAAATCGCAGTCCATCCCTGCCTGGGGAAGAATACTTTGGTTAGCTCCAATAAAAACATGAATCCTAATCATCTGATTGTGGAAAATTCAACTGCTTGGCCTTAGTCAAATTAAACGAAACAGGATGAATACATCTTTTAACTGTTTCCGAGGGAATCTCCTACGGTTCCGGTTCCGTCGTATGATGGACATCCTCAGAGCACGGTATCATTCATACAATCGTATCTAAGCATTCTAGGATAAGCCGGTTAGTTTTCTTGACTCGTTTGCTTCAATATGGTTCTAACAACGATGCATTGCTTCGATGATGCTCCTCATGTGACAGGCTCTAGCCATCCATATCTCCTTTGGCATGAAGACGAGTTTCATATGCTGTCAAATCAAACATATCAACCAGCATACTACTTGTGAGTAGCCAAGTGTTTTTCCGCTCTCAGACTGCCCTTCAAATAAAAGCCATCCGAACTGAAGCCGTTACTCAGGCAAGAAAGCAAACAAGCAAGCGAATAAGCGAACAAACTGTGTAAATCACAAGTCGCCCATTGACCGTAGCACCGCTCCTTCGTTTGACCTAAATTAGGCTATAACAAACACACACACACACACACACATGCACACTCACCGGGCTAAAGAGTGACAGCCCCTATTCGAGAAGAGGCCAGCAACTTTTTAGGCATAGCAGGCGCAAAGAGGCGTGTCCAAAATGATTATTTTTAACCTCCTATTTAGATTAGCCTATAATCTCATTCTTTCAGAGAGCTGGCATAGTGACGGTCGGCTGAAGGGTTCATTGCAAAGGACCCAGTGAAAGGATGAATTTTTTTTCTTTACCAGGCCAGATTCCAATAGCACTTTTATTTCACGTCTTCCCTTTGCCTCTCCAGACTTGACAAAGATTGAGTCTGTTGTCTCGATATCGCGAAGCAGGTCACTTTGACCAGTTTAGAGTCATATCGCCAACTCAGACGTCATCGTTTGGTCGACTTGAAGTGGCCATTGGCCATACTTCATTACCACTTCACCACTCAGCATTGGCACTTCAAATCTGGTTTCATAGTGGGGCTAGTCCGCACTTTTGCTTTAAAGGTCCAGAGTGTTGAAGGTAATTGGTGAAATGACCGGGTTTCAATGCAAATTCAGTTGACACATCCTTCATCTCCAATCAGCCCATGACCCACGATCCTGCGAGCACAGACATTCCCTGTCGGTCGAATGTTCTTCGAGATTTCTTGGTGTACCTCTTAGTTCGTCTGGAAAGGATTGGCAAATCCTTGAACTTGGGACTACGGGGTTCCTTCTTCTTCCTCTTTCTGTCTATTAAGGGATTGCTCGAGACCCAGCCTCTCTCCGTACTTGATGTTTCTGGCGGAAGACAAACTTTGTACATTTTTAGAATTGGGTTGACCTCGTTCTCGCAACTTGGTCTTGTTGTCAGCGTGACTATGTAGAATGCACCTAGTCCGAAGTCGTCTGCCATAGTAGTTGTCATGATTCCCAGCCTCTGACAGTGGACTTGGTACATTGTCTCTTTGACGAGTTCGTAGCTTGGTGCGGCGAATGGCAAAACTGACGGATGATACCGACTACGATGACCTGGCGAAACGTTTGAGAATGTACCAAGTCCACTGTCTGATGCTGGGAATCATGACAACTACTTCGGACTAGGTGCGTTCTACTAAGTCGCCCTGACAACA